GGGGAATCTGCACCTGGACACAATTAGCTAGCATTCACTTTCAATGACTCTCCAGGATGGAACAAGATATTCTCCCTGCTCCCTACGTTCGAATGTCTACTTCTTTCTTATCAAACTTTTTTCTTTACCCGTACATAATATGACTGCTTTCTTTTATCTGCAAGTTTTCTCTGAGAACTTCATCAATTTGATGTTGAAGGGCATTTTTTTTTATAGTGCACTTATGAAGAAAGTAAAGTAAAGCTTTACAGGACAGCCTAAATTATGTTATTTACCCATCCTCCGATATCCAGGACAGGTGGCACCTCCAGATTTAATTTTAGATAAAGTCTGACTGTTTGGGCTCTTGAAACCTAGGGATATGATTTCATTCTCCTTAGATAAAGTTCATTTGAGCTGTCAGACTCTTTATGCCTATTAGACATTAACAGTCACATATCAGACCTAGTGAATACAGGTGGTTAGTTCGGGCCCGTGGCGCAGGAAATCACACTGAGATGTCAGACAAGTTTCTTCAAACAGCCCTATTTCAAAGTCACAACAAGAATTTAGAAAGTTGCCAGGTCAGAGGAGGTAAACAAAACTGCAAAAATCCTGTGACTGCTGAAAACACCTCACTCGGAAAAAAAAGGAGAGAGCGGCAGAAAGAGAGACAAAAGAGATGTTAATTATACAGTAGGCCGCTGGCTGTCAGAGTGAAAAAGAGTGGGGCCTCTCCGACGGTTGATGCCACTAATCATGGGGTGTGACACAGCATGACACCCTGCTATCTCTAATGTAACACACAAGTGCGCACACACACAAACTCAAACGCACATACACTCAAAGGCGCGTGTGCTCGGCGCAGCGCACGCTGGTACATTCTATATTTGTATCTTCATTATAATAATAATTTCTTCTTCCAGGCTGAACAGTGATATGAGAAGTGGGTGTTGCATGAAATGTTTATCCCAAGAAATGAAAACTATTTCTTCTTCTTTTTTTGTTTTCACCCCTTATGCATCAAAAGGATGATGCATCAAGTCTAAATATATGCAACATACCCGGGGAAATAGATTAATTAGTGCGCTAAAAAGAATTTGAATCGTCAAGGGGTTCGATTTGTACCCAACCATCAGCAGCTTCACTGACACAGCATGAGGTCTGGTGACTGTAGAGGCCATTGGGGTACGGAGGACTCACTGTGATGTTCAAGAAGCCCGTTTGAGATGATGTGAGTTTCGTGTCAATAAAATATAGGCAACACAGGATGTATTAGGGCGTTTTTCCTTTTGCACATTCAAAACTTTGCTAAAGTGTAGAAGTATTTGTTGTCAAGAGTACATAAACTTTCAAAAATGACACTTCTCAGTAAGAATTATGTGTTCTAATTGAAAGATAGTTCTAGTTGAACGATGAAATCATGCATACTTGGTCACTTGCTGCTAATTATAAAAGCACATAAGCCTGACTTGGCAGTTATCTGTCAGTTATTTTAGGTAATTAGGTAAAGTAGGTTCACCATGCTAGTCCCTCACATAAACGCTGTCCCATCCCTCTCCACCAGCCTGAACTGTCGATACAAGGCAGGATGGAACCATGCTTTTATCTGTTTTGGAATAAATTCTTGAGACTCTTGAGATCAAGCAACATTTTTCCAATCTTCTTTTGTCCAATTCCAGTGAGCCTGTGTGAACTGTAGCTTCAGTTTCCTGTTCTTAGCTGACAGGACTGGAGCCTGATGTGGTCTTCTGCTGCTGTGGCCCATCTGCTTCAAGGTTTGACGTGTTATGGATTCAGAGATGTACTTCTGCATACCGCAGCATGTGGTTATTGTTTCCTTCCTATCAGCTTGAAGCGGTTTGGCCATTGTCCTGTGACCTCTGACATAAACAAGGCATTTTCTTCTAGAGAACTGAATATTGAAAATAATGGATATTTTCTCTTTTTCAGACAGAAAAACCTGTTAGACCAACAACCATGCTACGTTCTAAGTCACTTAAATCAACTTTCGCCTCTATTCTGGTTCAGTTTTAACTGAGTTGCTGCCATATGATTGGCTCATCAGATATTTGTATTAACAAGCAGAAGAACAGATGTACACAGTGAAGTGTTTGGTGAGTGTGATTTGTTTTTCATTTGTTTTAATCTTATTCTCTAAATGTGCACACAGGTACACAATACCCATGGAAGTCCTTGAAAAGCAGGTTTTTAGAAGATTTCTGGGCATTCAATAAAGTTGGCCCCTGGTAAAAATGAACAGTTTCTGCTTTTTAGAACGACTACTGCTTTTTATTATAAGACAAGCTTAGTACCTAATTTAGCAGAATTGAAGTAATAAAATCTCCCACAAGCTTGGTGACAGGGATCTATTGTATTGCAAAGCGTCCCTTGGGCATATCATTCCAAGGTTGTTCAAAGTTGTTGAGCTCTCATTGACAGATTTTGGGATGCATTTTGAAGAGAACATTTCAGAAAATAGGTTAAGGCTTTAGGGGCTAATCACTGCGGAGTATTAAAGCCGTCAGTGCTCTGCTGGATCTTTTACCGCAGCGCTGTCTCCTTCGAAAGCTATGGTAACACTTGTTATGACTGTTCATATAGAATTTCTCAAAAAGTGCTTCCAATCAGCATCCACCTGTACGCTCCGGGTTTTCATTCACCATTGGGAAGGGGGAACGCTATTACCATGACTCCCCTGCTGTGCTGATCATGCTGTTTTTGTTGGGGAGTGATGAGGTGAGATGAGCCAAACAAAGAACATAGACCGCTTTCACACAATAGCTTCGTTCTAAGCGAGCTTCCTGACTGAATTGAATTAATTCACATAACAACAGCTGAACAGGTTGGAGTACTACCGTGTGGGGCAGGAATGATAACAACATAACGCAGGTACTTCATGTAAGAAAAATAACAAAGGTGCATGGAACAAAAAAAAAATACTATCTGACTGCTGGCCTAATAAAGTGTGTTAATAAAAAAAGAGCTGTTATAGATTAAATATCTACAATGGGAAAAATGACTGCCATGTCAGTAGAATGAACAGCATGCCATCACCGTTTTACACTCCTCTTACTTCCCATTACATCTACTGATACACACACACACACACACACACTGTGCTGTTTGGTAATGCATATGCACTTGCCTGTTTTTGTACAGGAAATGATGCATATTACAAAATCCCAATTAATTCAAGTGAGTTGCACACTGAGTTGCTGCTTGATTAAGTGTCTGTACTCACTAATCTCGATGACCCTGATTGTTTCTGTTCAGTTGTCTAGCAGCTTATGTAACACCGTCTTTCTTCGTCCGCTTTCAAATAAAACAGACTACCTCAGATTATTATTATTATTTTGGAACGGCGCACTCCTTTCAGACCCGGGCAACGCTTTATCCTTCTCTGCTTGTAATATCTAAAGTCATATACCATTTGCCTAAGGCACGGAGTGAGATTTATGACTCCAGTGGAAATAAAACTGAACAAATATCCATAGTTTATTCCTTTATTCAGTTACAAAAGCATGATGACTTCTTTCCAGGACACTTTGGTTAGAAAAAAAAGAAGATTTCTCAAAAGTCTGACTCCTAACAGTGTTCTGTATTCTTTTATATTTATTTAGTTTAAAACTTTGAACCCATTTATTGAACTTTGAATTTTAAAACTCAATTTTAACATTTGTAGAGTTAAAAAAAAACATGACAGTGTTTCTGGTGATTAGATTCCAGTAGTAAAAGTACCATGAAAAAAAAAAAGAAATATTCACATGGTGATAGATTTTAAGCACTTCAAAAAAAAAAAGAAGAAAAACAACAGGAGATTAAATTAAAATCAACTCTAAACTGGCTTTGAACAACAAAAAGCATTTGCAGATTAATTAACATCAGTGTGTTGTTTACTTTTTTCATAGCCTTCAAAGTGCAACCTAATTCTCCTTTACAATACAAACACTGAATGTCCCTTTTTTTTAAAAAAAAAACAAACAAACTTTTTCATTTTGTTTAATTTTTTTTTTTTTTTTTTTTACAAATCCTGTTTTGCCATATAAAACATATTTCCCAAGATAAAGCCTCCACAGAAGAGTGCTGTGCTGTCGTAGTAATTAATACATCATCAGAAAAAAGAAGACGCATATGAAGGAGGAAAGAAAAAAGTATTCACACGGCAGGTAACTAATTCTGGTACACTGAGGCTTGATTTAAAGGAGAACAAACATTTTCACTGGGGAAGAGAAAAATCCTTTTATATACATAACAATGTGGAGATATGTATGATTTTTGCTTGCCCACTTATGGCGGAATGGCGGAAAGAGAGGTTCCACATTAGATTTGGTACCCTTGAAAAAGGAAAAAAAAAAAAAGGATACAAACTCAGGAATAAAAATAAAAGCACATCCATTTGTGGAAGCAGAGGATGAGTGCTGCCTTTGTACAGGCGCTTGGCTGTAAAATAAGAGGTCAGCTAGATTCTGCAGTACATAATCCAAAGCTGACCTCTGGCATCCAACAGCAGTGAAAATCCCATTTCAAGCGCTTCGACCTTCCAGTCACCTTAGACTAAACTCTCCCCCTTGGACACTGTTAAAGACACGCAGATATCAAGCTAGTGGTGATGGTTGATGCATTTCAGGACTTCTCTTTTCAATGACTATAATTTTTAACCACTTTTAAAAAAAACTTTAATTTTTACTCACATTTCCCTCAACTTGCTCCCTCTGCTTAAACTTCGGCATTTCCTATATTTACTTGAAAGCCTTTTAACAATTTGGGTATGTGAAATTGCTGTACTCTGCAGTGGAATATTTGTGGAGGTGGACTGAGGTGGAGTGATAGCTATGTAAGAGGAAAAGATGTTCATGCTGGCTGAAGGCACATAATGCATCCTTTACATAGCTCCAGGCTCTGATGTGTTATGAAAAAAAAAAACTGAGTGATTTCTCTCCTGGCACATTTTTCAGCTGTACGACTACTCCATTTAAACAATCAGTTTGGCAATAATCTATATATATATATATATATAGATTATTGTTGACAAATCCAATGAAAAGAACAAAACCAGCTAAGATTACCAATCTTTCAAAACAAAAATGAACTAGTCAAAGTCTGATACTGTAACTTATTGCTCTGATACTACCTAAAAAATATCAGTGAGTCACCTGACCCTGCTGAAATTTCATTTCGATACAACAAATCAGAATACTGCATATTTCCTTCACTTTATCCTGCACCTTTTCTGCAATAATACCCAGAAACTGGGACTGAATGCTTCAGAGAGGCTGGCAAAACACAAAATTCCTAAGGATGATCAAGGCATTATGCATTTGTCGCAAAATGTGCAAGCCTGGGGAGGAAAAAAAGGAAAAAGCTAAAGCACTGGACCCTATCCACTTATATGCTTTTGTGCATTTATGATAAGAGCGCAACATCCAATACATTTCTTATCACCATGTGTATGTTCTCAGTTTTTCTAAAATAACAGGTCCTCCTGCTATTTGCAGTCAGCATAGTGCTACCAATTATTTCTATCTATTTCTATGTAAAGAAAATGCAGAGAGGGCTATCATAGAAAAAGTGTAGAAGTTGTTCAAAAAAATAAAATTGAAATATTACTGTCTGAGGTGAAAGCTTAAAAAAGGACACGTGATTCCCCGTAGTTACTGGATAAGTGGGAAAGCCACATTATTAATGAATGTACTGCTTTAAGGATTATTTCCTAATAAACCTTTAAAAAATACATATAAATTAGGTTTTAATATGTGATGCACTTTGTGAAAAAAATTACAGCTGACTGTCATTTGTTGGTACATGGTTGGAGGCAATTCATTGGTTTGCATATATGAAAACTATTTTCATACACGAAAACAAATGTGCGCTGTTATTATAACTGCTACTGTCATGAGAATATTCATGAATATCTTACTTGTGTGTAAAATGTTGGTTTGAGGACAGACGGGATTTAAGCAAAAGCTGTTTCGGCCCGTTGTGATTTATTGATGATCAGAGCCTTGTGAGAGCGACGGGGGTCAACATTGTCATCGTGTTTTGATTAAAACATCTTCATACTGAAATATGTGACAACACATTTCTCCTGGCTATATCAAACATGTAAACTAGTACAGACAGCAGCAAAACACTCAAATTGTTCTAATGAAAAAAAACCAAAAGCGAAAATTGTTGGTATCCTCGCATCTCTGGAATTATTGTCAATAAACGAAAAAAATAAAATTATAGAATCATGCCAGTGTTTCTCGTTTTCCCTCCTGTTACATCATCTTTCCGTTTTAAATCACAGAATTAGCTAAAGGTTTGTTTTCTGCCGTTGGCCACTTGCATAAGAATGCATAAGAATATAAATTACCATGGTGTGTGACAAAATGGGCCCAAGAAATGCAAAGTGCATCACCGACGGTCGTTTTATGTTAAATGTACTGAAATGCTCTGGTATGGAATCTTACTTTAGGGCCTAAATGCCAAACCTAGGATGTCTGCCCGTTGTCACATCTGCCCTCTAATGTCCCAGGCCTGTCACTCTGATTCCTCGATACTTGATGTGATCTGAAAGGGAGAACTCGGGAGAGCCAAGCAGCGCAGTGATCACCATAACCTTGACTTCCAATAGCAATACTAACTCCAAATCTGTCAGTCACATCGAGTGTATCAATCGCACCCCCTCCTTGCTGTGCTAGCTAGCAACAGCGAGGAAGCCGGCTTTCTGGCTTTTTCGCTTAGTACTGAACAAAACATATCAATGCTGCAACAACTGTAGATAAACTCTAAATTTGTCTTCAAAAAGACTGTCCAGTGTATCAGTGATTATGCTATGAATGTCACAACAGCAGAATACAGTTTAAGGTCACTCAGTATTGTACATACAGGATAATGTGTCATTGTGTCATCTCCATTCTCTTTTTGACGCAGGTTGAGGTGAGCATTTATGAATGTGCCCAATGACTGCTTTGATGATCGATGTAAGTACTCAAACTCAATCTGTGTACAATGTTCCGCATTTAAATGGTCATGTGGCACTAAGACAAGGCATGATGTGTTCAATGACGTCTAGCAGCAATGCTTGTTTGTCGTAGCCTGGACAACTTCTGATTTGAACATCATTAACCGTCATCGAAACGTAAGTCAAATCAAAAATACGTGAGACGAACTAATCTGCGCTATCAATCTAGCGTAAACCACTATCTCACAAAAATTGGCTATGCTACTCTGAGCACTTAGTCCTTCAAAAATGGAGTATAAATGTAAGAGTGAAGGAAGGTGGGGACATCCCGAAAACAACATCATATTATCGTAGCAGTCACAAGTGTTTGTCCTCCTCTGCCACATCTGTGCAAAGACATGATCCATCAGCCATCGGAAAGCATCTAGGTAGTACAAGGTCAGCAGTGGAGGTGAAGATATTGCACAAGCAGACTAACGTCAACAGCTCCATCGAAATGGCACAGCGCAGGCGTCACACTGAAGAATAAAACTCTTTTTTTTCCACATAAATGAACACGGTAAAAAAAAAAAGTCCAAAAACACGCCCAGTTGACGACTTCTTTATTGCAGCACGTTTCCCTTCTTTTTTTCGATATCTATTTTTCAAACACCCACTTACTAAAAAAAAGAAAAAAAAAGTTGCGATTCTCTGTTCATCATTTGCGAGGAGCGGTTTTTAAGAGTCCGTTTTGGCAGTAAGTTTTTGTTCAAGTTGGGAAAGCCGGGAGAATAGATGGGTCAAACCGGACAGCCATGGGTTTTGTTATGGTTTTTTTTGAGGTTATTAGAGTCCTGTGCTCTTCTTCTTCTGCCCCACCCTGCCTATCCCCTCGCCGCCAGCATAGTAATATGATGATCACATGCCGGAGGCACCCAGTCCCATGCTGGCGGTGTGGCTCATGCAGGGCAGTGTCTGAACGGTCTTGGGGAAGTCGTGGGTGAGGATTCGTCCGTTCTCTCCGCCGCTCCCGTTGCCACTCATCCTGGTCAGGGTGGAGCAGTGCATGGCGTCGTTGATGGATTGCTGTTGGAAGCAAAAACATCGCAATTAGCCCACAGATCAGATTTCGGTGTATTTGTGCACACATGCGATATCTTGTAATCAAAACGGTGAATGCAACAGTTTGAGCTAGCAGCACACAGATAATGTCTGCAGAGAAGTTCGACTTTTTTCCAGTTTTTTTGTTTGTTTTACGTTAATACACGCACAAAAGAGTCTGCTGCATGTACGTATGTTCCTTTTTGAATGTTGGGCACGCCAAAAAAAATCTGGAGCAAGTAAACTGTTAAACATTCCTTGTCAGTTATATTTGCCGGTGTTAAAATTGGGGTACCAGACATTGTGCATCGAATGTCCCAATTTGTAGCAGGAGGAGCCGAGTGAAGGGTGGGCAGAGAGGGAGCTGAGGCTTCACTCGTTGGTTTAATAGCTTCATTCTCCAGTCTAGCGCAATAAAACCCACTGGGCTCGAATGCTGACTTAATGATGTGTGATGCTTGTGTGTGTGCGTGCACGTGCCCATGCGTGCCACTTCGCTATCTGTCCGCATTCTATAGCTGATTAAATCGGGCAAAGCCAGTGCGATCTGGAGCGACCAGTAAGTGCTGCACGGGGGTTGGAGAATTACACCGGCCTCTAATTGGAATGGTGTTGTTGTTTCTTTCAAGTCAAACAGCATAAAGGCACCGCTGGACTAATAGGCTCCTCGCCATTCTCTTCAGCATACTGATCAGGTGGCCCCTTTGTGGGCTGATTAAAACATAAGAGATTTCATGTAGACGATCACTCCTCGCATTCGGCCTGCCTTTTTTTTTTGTTTACATGAAAACGATATCAGTGCGCCCCCCTGGGGGGGCTTTGAAGCTGGAAGAATAAATCAGAGGCTGTTTGTTGTAAATTGATCCACGAAGCTGATAACTAACAGCTGCTGAAGACCAAACCTCACATCTACCAGTAAAGTATAAAGCAACAAGTCCTGCATTTTAGATCTGTGAACATAACAGCAGTTTGAGTTAAGACTTTTTGAGATCAAAGCAGTGATGGAAGACATGCGAGCCGCACGACGTCTGCCTTATGGTATACATATAAACGATGTTCACCACAATGGGGCCTGCGTTAGCGAGACAGTCAGCAAAAAGAGAAGAAGGAGTAGGGCAGAGAATTGCTCAGAGCGACAGAAGTAGATAGATGTACCACTGTGATTCAAATTGCCTTTATACCTGTGCTGTGGTAGATTATTGTAATGGGTTAAGTAATGGGTTTTAACAAAAGGCCTGTGAGGAACATTGTGCAGTGTGACATCGAAAAGCAACATGTGTACTTAACCACACAGTCAAGAAGGAAATATTAATTAGAGAACAACATATAGTGACAAATAATCCATCTACATGTAAATTCAAAGGCAAAAACTAACTACATAAAAAAAAATGCTACATGCTAACAATCCTGCCACATTAACACATGAAACTCTAAGCAACTGCTCTGAAAACTTACTTCTCGAACGTGACGAAACAGGCATAAGGGCAATTTTGGAATCAAGTGATTGAACAACACTGCAGGAGATCAGTGACATAAAGACTGAGCGAGGGAGCGGCAGAGGTAGAGAGAAGTACAGGAGAGCGTTTGCACTGGAAGCCGTGGGAGGCCCTACTGTGATCACGGTTAGATGGGCGGGGAGGGGGTGTGGAGGCAGATGTCATCATCATCATCATCATCATCATCATCATCATGGCTTGATCACAGCGTTTCCTACCCCGTGGCTGTGCTCTGCCCTTATATCTTAACAGTGTTGTTGGCGTACAGGCCGTAGCTCTGCAGCTCTGTGTAGGGGGCGCTAGCACCACTGTCTAAGGCTGAGCAGTGAAAGGCCTGAGCGGCTGAGGCAGCAGCAGCTCGCGCGGTGGACACCTTCATTCGGCGCGACTCGGTCCTGGACTTGTAGCAGAACTCCACCAGTGCCACCAGCATGGCCAGGCCCAGGCCTCCAATCAGGATGTAGAAGACTCCCGCCACATTGCTGAGGCTCAGAGCGCTGGTCTTGTCCTGGGGGAAGGAGGGCGGAGAGAAGTCGTGAGGAGGCAATAGCGGCAGCAGTATATGACATATAATTGGACTCTTTCTCTCTCTCTCTCTCTCTCTCTCTCTCACACACACACACAGACAAATTTAGCTACAAACTAGTTTCACAGACAGAAATCATAAGTGAAACGACTCAAATGGAGTACATGTACAGCAAAATGACAACTATAGACAAAAATATTGAGCCACCGCTGACTTCTTTACAATATTCTTAGTAAAACTGAACAAATTGTGCAATAATTTATTGAAACTTGTGGAACCACACGTTGAAATACTATATATATTACATTTGCAGTGTGTTTGGTATCATTATCATGCTAAAAGAAAAAAACAAAAGATGACATTGCACAGTGGAATGTAATCTCCTTTTCTTTTCTGCATGTCAAGATATTCCAAGGTTTTGAGAATCACTTTGCTGATTATTATAAATTAATTTTTTTTGCCTGTCAAACTGTGTTATATTTGACATTTTTTGTAGATTCAGGTAAAGAATTGGAAATAAATTATGTGTTTTGGCTAAAGTAGATCTTTGATAAGCTGACCGTTGTATGTAGACAAAACATTGGTTCAACCCGGGACTTTGGTGTCTTTTTATGCTTGAATCATTCATAGATCACTGTTCAGCAGCTTCAGGAACTAGCAATAGATTGAAAATGAGTGAAAGAAAGGAAGAAAAAAGCCTGAAGAACCATTGGCCAGGAAGTCTGAACAATAATCTTGTTTCTTGGAAATAAAATGTTAAGAAATGAGGGTGGCTCGAGATTTTTTTGCACAGTACTGTTTAACCCACACTAATCCAAACCAGTAGAAACCCACATTGTAAAGAAAACGCCTCAACTATTAAGGCACATGAAGACAAGTTAACATAAAAGTCGACAAGCTAAGACACAGATAACCACACAACAAGAAAATAGCAGGGATAACAATATATTTCAGAGGCCTGGCTCACAAAGCAGTTTTTAACTTTGGATCTAACTTTGGGTCTGTGAAGGTTCTCAGTCACTTTGGCTTTCTTATCTTGGTGAACTTGGTGAGGAGACCCAAGAGGGGAGGTGGGAACCTTCTTATAAGATACAAGCAGCAGCAGTAAATACTGCAAGTGTTAAAACGATAAGTGCAAAGGGCACAGAGTTATTCTGTGAAACTGGTTCAGTGACTTTGCCTTTCTGAGAAAGTTAACTCATAAATATTTGAAAGATCTTTGTGTGCGCGGTTACAAAACAGAAGCTCTTACAAACGGGAGGTACTACAAAAAAAAAAAAATGTTCGGCATGCGAAGGTAGGACTCAAAAGGCAGTTTGAAGGTACGATGAGTCAAAGTTAGAGAATGGTGTTCCAGTCAAAAGGCCCAAGTGAATTTATGTTGGCACAGACTGATGCCCACTGCAGGCTCCAATGATTCATCAAAACATCCTTAAGCATGAATCGGGCTTAGGAACGCTCCCTCAACATTTGGCTCATTTTATCACCTGTCCCTATAAAAAGGATATCATGAATAATTTGTAGTGCAGCTAGTCTTCTCTCAAAGCCAGTGCTTCCAAAAGCCACAAACAAAATCTGCCGTTGCAAGTTAACTACAATGATGAGCTTTTAGTGACTGCTTAGATTTACATAACTTACTTATTCTGTCGCTACAGGAACAGAACATTTGAGGCTAAACTGTAACATCTGATGACACTATCATATACAGCAGACAAACTGAAAAAAGCCTTAAGTTAAAAAAAAAAGAAATCAAACTTTACAGAGACGTCATAATAAAACACGTTGAGATTATGCTCTGTCTTAGACTAAGTTGGGATTTATTGTTGTCTTCATGAGAGAGGAAGGCAAAATTATTATTTCCCACAACAGACTTACATAGCACATTAAAATGTCAGCAATGATATTGAACCCTGTTTAATAACCCTACACACGTGTATATTCTTTTTATAGTATTTCATACTCTACCTGCCTTCAAGTGCCGTGTATCTCTAATTCACTTCCTGCCACTTTGTGCTAACGTCAAGTCAAATTTCACACTTTTATTAAATTGTAAGTGGCTGTTTGCGTGAAATCCCACCTCTTGCATGTGCTCTGTAACAAAACTTTGCTGTTTATCCACTGTTTACTGGGCTGAATTTAACTTTTAATTAACGTTAACCATATTAGAGGCTTTCTTTATATGGAGGCTAATATTCTGATTCTATTAAGGAAAAATCTGAATAAAGAAAAAGCTCAGAATAAGCAGGTGGAACTGATTACGCCTCTTCAAAAACCAATCAGAAAGTAGAATTTCATCACGTAATGTTCACTTTCTCGTTTTCTTTTCCTGCACATGTTCTCTGTTATGACGTAAATGAACCAAGAGTGGGGACGCAGCGGGTAGCTGATCAATCGTATGCTACAATAAGATAGCCACTGAGGCATGTGTGACATTTTCATTTCTTCTGCATGTCACTCCGCTCTGATTAAGTGCACGTGCATCCTCGCGTAAACACCAGACCGTATTAAGTCATGTTCCAGCATCTGACCCCAAATTTTCAATCAGAATAAAGATAAAGACTATGTGCGACTCGCTTTGTGTGGCAGGCCCCAGATAGCGTTTAACACTGACTTACATTTTACACAATGTGAAGTCAAAAACATACAAATTACAGTTTTCTTTTTAAATGATAACTTTTTGTTGTGAGGAAATGGGTATAGATAAACACACAAACACGCCCCATAACACATGCATTCATGTGACAACAGCACAAACAAGTTTTTAGTTTGACATTATTTCATATTATGATTTGTTTATCTCTGCTGCAAGTGCCCCTAACGTTACATCTATGTCTGCTGATGATATACAGAGGACATTAATTATTAAGGCTTGAATCAGTGAACCTACTACACTGATATTTTCTGTATATTAAATTTTCTTTTTCATGAAATTATGTGGGGAATGTTTTGTTGAGTGGTTTTTAGCAACTAAATAAAACCGAGGCATTAATTTGTTTGCTCAGATAAACTGACTTTAAACCAAAGTGCAAAACTGAGTTTAAAGTCTGTCCAAATATTTAGATATACTCTATAACAGGTGACGTGTGCCAAACTATGTGCTACGGAGGACTGAATCTGCTGTTTTATTCCCCAAACACACTAGACTAAATCTTGAATTTGTGTTCAGTCAGCTGAATTTGAAAGTCTTCCAATTTATTAGTTTTGTTATATTAAAACTGGAAGAAAATTTTACTACAAGTATGCTGTATAGAGATAATGCTAAATAATTAACACTGGACCACTCCAGGTTATTTTGTGGCCACAGAAAACAATTAAAGTGTGATGTGGTTAGTTAGAAATCCCTCTGGGTGCTACTAGGATTGTTAGCTTTGGAAAGAGAGTGCTAGCTTAACTGCTGTTAGCTCTTGCTACATTGTTAGCATACAGATCTGAGAGCAGCATCAAACTAATCACTGAATTCGATCAAGCAAAAAAACTTGATCACTTAATTTAAGTACATATGTGCATATATTGACATTTGACAGAGGAACTGGATGAACATAGGCTTGCAACAAAAAGGTAGCATACCCTGATTGATCATTCACCTGGACGATGACTAGCATATAAGCATCTAAGAAAACGAATGGATCCCAATGGTGTATTTAATATGACTTTAAACTATCGACTGAACCTATAATTCCATCAGAACAGTTTTTACTTTGTTTGTAACATGCTCCTTGTAGACTGAGCTCTTCATGGCACATAGTTTGACACTTCTGCATAAACTACCAATAGAACTGTCGGTACAAGCAATGGCAGAGTTCAGTGGGCCACACAGAGGTACATAAAGAGGTATCTGAAGTAATGCGCTAAAGCTTTTCTGTCGGGAGAAACTCCTTTCTTTTTTCTTTTTTTTACAGTAGATAACAAAATTCTAATGCATGCAAGTGCAGTGGGCAGACTTGATACAACTCCGGGTTAATATGAATTGACATGGCATCCATATATGCATACCTTAAATTAAAAGCGTTATGCCAGGATTATTATAAAGGCTAATATATAAAGGCAAAGGCCAATAGCTCTTGTTTCATCTTTCTCACTTCATGCCCTTTTGTGTTTCTCATTCCTTTCGACAGAAAAGATTTATGTTCAAAAAGCCTGCTTGAGTAATTCATATTTGATCTACTGCACAAATATAATGTTATCCTAACACTTTGTGTGTGTACATTTGTTTTCAGGATTGGACAAATCGTTTTATAAGGATTCCTTCTACCCAGATCCAAATGTTTAACAATTAATTTTAACAGTCCTTGCTAATCCACCACACATTGTTTATTTACACACTGGGAATGAACAATAAATCTCTGACAACACAATCTCATCAGAGGGAAGAAATAAACAGCAGAGTACCACCAGAGTACTGGCCCAATTATAAGACAGTATTTCTGGTAAGTACATTTTTCAAAGTGGTGGTGGTGGTGGGGGGGTCATTTCACATTTGAAGATTTACTTTTCGTAATCAAAACAGCAGATGTTTTTTTTCTTTGAATAATGGAACTGTCGATGCACTTGCACAGTAAGCTGCATTGAGTTCATTTGCTTTGGTGTTGCTGAGAAAGCGAGATTGAAATTATCCCTCGGCATATATCTGCTAGTATTGATCAACACCCCAGTCGGCCTGTTTCAAAGTGAAAATATGTACATTTTGAAACAAACAAAAATAAACTCATTTCTCCCTTGGTAATCAAATGTGTTTTATGCAATAAACAAAACTTTTGATCAATCCAGTAAACTTAGTAGCAAGACCACAAGGTGGTCTCTGATGGCAGTCTGGGGAGCTGTCATTATATATGTATAATTATCATAAATTGATGACTATTGTAAAACTAGTCCAAACAGGAATTCATAAAATATTTACAAAAGTATTGGGCCACACCTCTTAATCTTTGAAATCAGCTGTTCTCAGTACCTTTGCAACAGGTGCATAAAATCAAGTACCTAGCCATGCAGTGTGGTACTGTAATAGGAGACCACTTTTGCAATAAGTCCATTCATGAAATCTTATCCCTCCTAGATCCACAACTGTAATGTAACTGTAATGCTGCAGTTATTTAACTGCAGCATTAACATCAGCACAAACGCTGTGTGCCAGGAGCTTCATGGTATGGGTTTCCAGCTCATGGTGGCCCAGTACTTTTGTCTGTATAGTGTAGCTAATGAATTTTCATATGGTCTAAAAAAGATCTGATCAGTTAATGCACATAAAATGAAGTCATCTTGTCCTCCTGGATACACCTTTACATTAACATTAACGTCATGTTTTTTTTTAAGTGGAGCAAAAGTCTAATAGATAATGCTGTGAACCAATGTTAATGACTCACACTGGAGACTTTATGACCCTTTTGTGACATTAAAATTACCATGCCATTTCCCTGCCATTCATATATGTGCACAGGCTTACTTTAAATAGTACAATCTTTCTTTGCTGGCAAAGGTTAATGTTAATGTTAGAGTAGAAGTGGATTGGACAGGCGGTCAAGTGGTGCCTCTTTTGATCGCGGACAGCCCATAAAGACATTGTTAGATATTATTAAACTACAAATGTAACAGTTTAGCCGGAAGAAAATGAATGGATGGACAGATGTAACAATCTCTTCGCTGTGTACTTACATAGTAGCAAAGTGTTTAGAATTCATTCTCCAGAGTGAAAGCTGAAGTAGATAAACTTTAGAAAAAGTGGCTTTCATTCACTTTGATTTGTGCATTTTTATTGGTTTCCTATTAATTCAAAATTAAGGTAATTAAATCCAAATATTTTGTTTCTGTAGAGAGATTGCAATAACAATTCTTTCAGGCTGAACTGAGATTTATTATATTCTTCTTTAAAGGTAATGATGCATGGAAAAACATTGATAAGAAAATTTTGTTTGTCTATTTTAATGCATTTTTCAACCATAAACAGGTGAGAGTTATCCTTAATTATCATCTTATATTTGGGCCAATACAGTAGAGCTGCCAGAGCCACATGGGGAGTGCTGCTAAGTGCAGCGCACTTTGGGCTGGTCTAGTATTAAAGGAGGGTTGTGCTGCGAGGTGCTGTGAGGTGCCAGGTTTGGGTTGGAGACTAACCTTTCTTCCGGAGTCCTTGCTGCCACACTCCCCTTTATCGTACCACCATTTGTTTTTCAGTTTGTCTAAGACGGCTTGCTCATTGAGCTTCAACACCGCTAGGTTTACTGGGATTCTTCCAACCATAAGGGAATAACATAAATAACATATTATACCATGTTATTTTATGTTATTAATTCAGAGACATAAAGAGCAGCAAATAGATACACATGCCTGGATTTGCTTGTTGGCAAAAAAAACAAAACAAAAGAAAAATGTCACACAAACCACACCCACGTGCACACAAATATATTGCAGAAACATCATTAGAAACATCAGTCAAAGTGATATGAATTAATACTCCATCTAGCTCGGTTAGTTTGCTCCCTAAGGCAGTAGATGTGTATTACTATATCACTTTGGGTAACCGGCATACTGCTTGCACTCACTTATGCCACAAGGCTTTCTTAATTTGATCTTTTCCTATTCGAAATCAACCATGTTGTACAGCTAAACTTATAGTCCCAGAATGGATGCGTGGGAGCCACAACACAAATAACTTTGCCGTTTTAATTAGCACTGATCAATTTTAAATCAGTGCTATTTTGTTTGAGCAGGGAGACATGATGCAAAAATTCCCCTCTCCATGGATTTCAAATTCATCCCCTGTCGGCCAAGCAATCACCCCCCTCAGTCCTGTCCCTTTGCTCTTCCCCACACCACACAGAGAGATTAAGTGTTGCTGGAGTGGTGGTGCAGCGTGGGCTTGCCGGTTACCCCTCTCTTCCCCTTCCCCCACTCCCCACCCCCCACTCTCAGTGGTGGTGGGTTTACCCGCAGGGTTTATCAAACTGGCTCTGACCTTGGAGTCCCCGCCCCCGCTGCCGCACTCTCCCTTGTCGTACCACCACTTGTTTTTCAATTTGTCCAAGAGGCCCTGCTCGTTCAGTTTTAACACTGCCAGGTTTACTGGGTTTCTTGAAAATAATATAAAACGATAACCATTAGGAGACACTCTATGGGACAGATATAAAGAGATTGGTCGTATGGTGGTGGTGGTGGTGATAATGAAATGCTGACTTAGAATTGGAAACACTCCTGCATTTGGCTACTGGTGTTAAGCAGGAGCGCTGGCTTTAGGATGCACGTGTTAGTCACATACCTGCAATGGGGCTTAAACACTGAGTGCCAATACAGTGGGTTTTACCAAGGAGGGGCTTGTCTCAGAGAGAGGCAGAGCAAACACTATAAATGGAGATGCTTTTGGATGCGGAAGTCTGACTACAGATGGTAATTTCCTTTCAGCTGCACCAGCATACAAATTGCTATGGCAACAAACCTATCAATATTCAAGCCATAACAGCATTCTTGTGAATAGAAGCTGATGCTGATTAATTTATAAATAACAGCAGAAACAAATTCCAGCAGAGGCTTCGACGGTTTTAACTGCTACGATCACTTTCACGATAGCTTTATTTCTCTAACTGGCTGAAAAAGATGTTGCCTGACCAACTGCAGACACATCACCCAAAGCACCTCCCCATGGGTAGCTCTGTCTCTCTCTGGTCACTGTGTATTTCCTATAGCTGCAAGGTTGAGGACAAAGACTATCCATCCACAAATCACAAGAATGCCAGAATCTGCAATCAGAATTTGCATATAAAAGTAAAGATTACAGCCTTTACGTGATTGCCTTTTTTTTTTTGCTCAAATCAGCACCAATTCTTCTGCACAGGAACAATTTAGTTTGTCGGCATCCTGCCTTTCTCATCACTGAACACAGAAGAGTCTCTACCCCCAACCTGGAGGACATCACACAGCTGTAGGGAAGACAGTTTTTTTGGAGCTGGTAAAACCTCTAAATTCTTTCTTAGCTTGGCAGACTCAGACAAAAAAGAAAGAAGTCACGAGAAGAAGTAAAGTGGACATGGATGTTGTGGAGAGCCATGGTTTGGTTGGTTCAGCGTGAGCAGATGTCAGGGAGGTTACTGAATGTTAGCGAGATGGTGCAGACCCTGAAGATTGTATATGTCAGAAATGAAGATCAGAATTTACACAGAACGTCAGAGCAATTGACAAGAAAGTGATCTCTGAAGACATTCCTGCAAAATGAAGAGTTATTTTAGGTTTTTTTTCCTCAAAAGTTCTGTTTTCAATCAGGCCTGCAATGCAATATTAGCGCTATCAGCGCTATTAGTCTCATTTACTGCGTAGAAAAGAAATCTCTACTTATGCAAAAAATCTAAAAAGAATGACAGTATATAAATGTCTAATTAGGAACTTCTATTGGAACGGGTATCAGTTCTGTAGTTCTGCACAGATACTCTATCAAATTTAAACACGATGAGAAAAAAAGAGTCAGATTAAAGCTTCTCTAATATCCAGTCGTCCGTGCAAACTGATTCATTATCCATGCATTGCAGGTGCGATTGGACTCAGCTCTTTAAATTCATGGGTAACTCATTCATGTCCCATTCCGGATGAGCTGAATACATTTGAAATTTCCTCCTTAAAACCCAAAGAATCCGTGAGTCATTCTAATTGCCATGCTTTAATACCACTCATGCAATCGCAAATGTTTGTTATCTGTTAATGGAACTCCATATCAGACATCTGTGACCACAATGACAACTTGGGAATAAGGTACATCGCTAGGTAAATAATTAACACAAAGAGAGCGAGATCAAACGGGGGCCACCCTTAGCTGTTCACCACTCTGTCCCACTGCTATGTTGTGGTCTGGGCCAATCAACCTCTTGTCTTATCGTTCATGCAGCATTAAACTTCATTTGTGGAATCGAATTTGTATTAAATTTTTAAAAGGAGCTTCTGATCGAGGCTTTAGAAGCAGTTCTACTCAGCATTCTGACCTCTGGCTGTCAACCAAGGAGGAAAGCCATATGAATCCGCAGCGAGTTTGAATAAAATCTTCCCATATGGCTCCTTTCATTAAAATGAATGAGGCCTATTAGAAATAGATTAAAAGCTTCAGATGCCACCAGCTTCTGCACTCTCTCTGTAGTTGCGGGAGAAATTTAAATGGGAAGTTGGTTAAGGTGTTAATGTAATGTGAAATGACAGCTGTTGCTCTTGGACATCGATGGCAGGAGTAAATCCGGGATGAATTATCCTTCATTATGTCAATTATCACATTAAATGTCGCAAAATACAAATTCCACTCTGCTGACTTCACATTCAAGGTGTGAGCTCTGGCTTAAGTGGTAAAGCAGCTATGCGGGATTCTTTAAGTTGTAAAATTGCTTTAGGGGCTCGGATTTTTATGATTGGCACGTTTCTATTTTTTGCGTGTGTGTTTGTGTTTAAGGGGGATGATTTGAAGAATATAAAGAGAGTTTGAAATATAATTGGAAGGCAGCAAGGAAGCAAAGTGCTCCTTAAAGAGGATAAGAGATCTCATCGTCCTGCTTTATACTTCTGCTAGTGCTCACAAGTCAGCTGGGAATAATCTAGCTGTGTACGTAGATGTGCAGACACAAATAAAGATGATCAGAATTGAAAATGGGAGGGATCGAGCTGTAAATGCCAGTGCAATATGTGCAAAAAGTTGGAGGATGACCGTGACAATAATGAGATGCCTTCTATATCTGATCAGAGCATTTATACTTATAAGTTAATCTGGTAGTGCGTGCACAAAGCATTCAGAATGCATGAAATGGCACCAAAAAAAAAAATCAACCTAAGCATATAAATATGTTCATAAATGAGCAAATACAGACCTCCAAATAAACAGGTGAGGGGTAACGCTCATGCACAGGCCCCAATAAAAGCACATGAAGGCTTTTATCCAACCACTGCAGTGGCAAAGGTTTACCTGAGATGGGAGCCCTTTGGTGTGGCAATTCCATAACCTTTGGAGTCCAGGTTGCCTCCCACCTTCATAGTGTCACAGGGTTTCCTCTGCTCTATGTACTCATTCATAGTGGACTCCAGCAGGTAGGCATATTTGCCCTTGGACTTCCTGACTCTCATGACACCCTCGTCTGTCGTTTTGACAAACACAGACGGGTCGGCCGCCTTCATGTAAGACCACATCTTCTCAAACACGGCGATCTTAGACCTCTGACAGCCAGAAATGTTAATAAGAAAAGGGATGGAAGTACAGGGAAAGGGACTGTCAGTATATAAATACTTTATTATCTATCTTTAGAGTGTTAAAGGTAAATGTTAAAATCCTTAAAAATGTCAGGACTTTACTCCCGATTTAGCTATTTATGCTCTTTTCATCCAACCCAATAACACTGCAAAATGTGTAACAGACGCAGGTCCACTGTGTCCATTTCACATTTTGCCTCTCCAAAACATGAAATGGACACACACGCAGACGTTGCTGCACTACCAGCACAGGGAGTGAAAATAATCACGGGAAAGCGTTTTAACAGACATTAGTAACACATTTACATGTATGTACACATTAGCTGCCTAGCTTAATTGTTTCTGGTGATTAAGGACCCTGGAATGTCCTTCATACAGTTTTTTTTCTCACTACCGACTTTGTGCCTTTAAATATATTATCCCCCGCCTGCTGGTAAGTGTGTACATTTCACGTTTTAGAGAGGCAAAGCGTGAAATGGACACAGTGGACCGGCGTGTCTGTGACACGTTTTGCCGTGATACTGTGTTGCTTCGTCAGTAGTTACTCACCGTTAGATTGCTGGCAGAGTCCACAGCTGTGTTTTTGCGATTCTACATTTACTGTGCTCTTATAACACTTTAAAATAACTTATACTTCCCAAATGCCGCTAGCTCACAATGAAAATGTTTAAACCCCGGGTGTGCCAGGTTTTGTTCCTCACCCTGAAGAATTCTTTGGTGGAGCCAGCGTCCAGCGTTCCATATGCAATCTCTGTCTGCTTGGCCAGATCCTCGGCACTCTCTATAGGAGACACCATCCTCTCCACAGTCAGGAAAGCAGCCAGATTCGCAGTATAGGATGAGATGATGATGAGAGTGAAGAACCACCAGACGCCTCCAACAATGCGGCCTGACAGAGAGCTAAAAAGAGAAGGACAGGATGTTGTTAGTCTGTCAAAAATAGGTATGCAAAAGATGCTGTTCACACATATCTTTCACAGACAGAGCCAGTTATGCATTAAGGTGGGGGAGAAATAAATAGGTGGCATCCATCTTTCTCTTTATGGAAAATTCTGCACGCAATCAAGAAGAGCTATCTAAAAGAACCCGGTGATGTTCGCGCCATTCAAATGATCCACATTACATCACACTCACTGTATCATTCCTCTTTCCACTAGGCTTGGAGATCATACCCCGGTCTGCTAAGGAAAGATAACCAGCTCCACAAAGGCCCACTCAGCTTTCTCCCTGCCAAATTAATCTCACTTTAAGAAAGTCGCCAATATGGTTTATGCCATACACATTAATTGTTGGGGATTAAGAGGCAGACAAGAACACTTAGCCACTGCTCTAATTGCACTTCCAATAAAAAAAAAAAAAGCCAAATTCAAATGCCTGCACTGTGCAGTTCGTTTCCTTGTATCTCTTCACCACAAGAGAACCCAGTTTGAACAGCAGCAGCAAAAATCATGTTGCATTACATATCAGACCCCCTCCCAAAAAATCACTGAGGCACAGGGTGGCAGAGCTTGTGCAGTGAAAATGACACAAATCTGAAACAAAAAATAAAAGGCTTTCGTGATTCACCTTTGTACCCACGACTCAAATGGAGCATGAACATGAAGGCAAGATTAAGTATGGAGGGAAAAAAAGAGACAGGGAGAGAAGCCGAAACATAATCATTTAAGATGCTTTTCAGATGACGGGCAGATGATGAAAGAGCAGCCATGGAGCGAGCCGAGAGCAAACACAGAACGGTTGCAGAGCCTTTGAAAACTCAGTCGGGAGGCTGTCTGTGTGTGTGTGGTGTGTGTGTGTTTTGACTTGCTCACTGCTCAAAGATCATATGGGTGTAGGTGAGGTTAAACTTTGACTGCAGGGCTATATATGTATATATATATATATATGTATATATATATATATATATACACACACTTGTACCTAGGTGAGTTGGGGACAAGAATAACCCCCTCTCAACCTGAGGCAATGGTTCTCAGACAGAAAAGGGCAGATTGCTCGCTCAGGGTTGCTGCCTTCAAGTGAAGGGGTTCAAGTATGTCAGGGTCTCATTCACGAGGTGAAGAGTGGCGTGGAAGACTGACAGATTGCTGCAGTGTCTGCAGCGATGCAGATGTGATGCTATGCCGGTCTGTCCTGATGGGGAGAAAGCTGAGCATGAAGGCAAAGCTGTCCATTTACCGGCTGATCTATTTTCCTAACCTCACTTGTGGCCACAGCGTGTGGGTACTGACCCAAAGAATTATGGATACAAGAAAGCAATGAGCTTCCTCTGAAGGGTATCTGGGCTTATCCTTCGAGAAAAGGTGAGGAATGTGGTCATAAATAGAGAGCTGCAGTTCCTCCACATTGAAAGCAGCTGGCTGATGTGCTTGCATGGAGCTGTTTTAGGCATGTCCGACTGTGTGGGAATTTTGGGATATATCTAGGTACAGCTTACGGATGCCTCAGTGTCACCCTAGAAGAGCTAATGGAGGTGGAAGAGAGAGGTCTGGGTATTAAAGCTCAAACTGCTGCTACCAAATAAGCAGGAGAAAATGGAAGCGATGATGGATGCCTATTTTTATGATTTACAGATATGTCAACACACTCATATATTTAACATACACAATACACACAAATATTGAGATACAGATATATAACTTTCTGCACATCTGCAAATAATCCTCCTACAATAATATGCTAAGGTTCTTCAGGTGATATTCATAGAAGTGAACAATCCTTTTGTCATTTATACATTAGTCAAGAAGCAAGCCAGCCAGCATCCATACATCACATTATGGTTACTGAAGTGTCTGTATGATTCCTATAAGATCTTTTTGAATTTTCACAAGAAAATGTTTACTTTTATTTATTTTTTATTAAGCCTTCCAGAAAGCTCAAATGTTGCCATTGTATGAAATATATTGCTTAGAAAAAAAAGAAGCAGGGGTGTCAAACAGAAGCCAGAATCAGTGGATGTGTGTTTCTGATTTTTTGGTCAGAGACATTCACAGCAGTGGCCTACTGGAGGTCATTTTGTAGCTCCAGTAGTGCTCATCCTGTTCCTCCTTGCATGAAGGAGCAGATACCAGTTCTTTCTGATTTGTTAATGACCATCTACAGCCCAGTCCAGCTCTCATGGATTAACTCGATGTCTCCTGGAATCTGGCAATGCCATGTATTGATTGTGTGACTAACTATGCTACCTCTGTGGGCTTTGGGTATCACCTCAGTAGTGACACTGACACTAGCCAAATGCAAAACTAGTGGAAAAAACAGTGAGAAAAGATGAGGAGGGGGGGAAATGTCAGTGTCCTCCACCTGTAAGTCATTCCTGTTTTGGGGGTTGTCTCATTGTTGCCCCTCTAGTGCACCTGTTGTTAATTTCATCAACACCAAAGCAGCTTAAACTGATTAACAGCCCCCTCTGATACTTAACTGACCAGATCAATATCCCAGAAGTCTAACTAAATAGGTGTTATATCTCGAGCAATGTATTACTATTTCCTATTTGTATAGGTTAAAAAGGCAGATCAGTACGGTCTAAAAAAATTAATTGATAAAACAAGAAAGTACAAATCTCAAATAAGCCCGCTAACAAATATATTCAAGATCTAATATTCCACCAATATGTTCCCAATCAGCCGTTTTCTTTAAAATAAATGAAAGCTCTAGATTATGCTTTGCCGGGATCCACCCAATACCTATAAAACTGGCCATCTGCTATTATTCGTGACAACATAGAGGTGAAGAGCATAAAGAGCAGAAATGATGAGAATAATGTTCAAGAATTTCAGAATCCTTGTAGAAATAAGTTATTTTCAATCCTTTATGTTAGCATTCAAACTACACGGCATACATTTTATGGTGAAAAGAAGAAGTTAAGTCTGTTATTCTAGGCTGAAACAAGTGAAACGAAGGAGGAAGGTGTGTGTGTGTGTGTGTGTGGGAGGGGGGGGACGGGACAAATGGCATAGAAGATGAAAGTAAACTGGATAGTACCACCAGAGGCAGACAAACTCCTTAGCTTTGACTGCTGCTGGCCTCCAGAGATGGCAGTAAACAGCTGTCTAATCCTTCCCCCTCAGTTGCCCTTTTTTTTCTCCTTTCGTTTTTCTTTCTCTCGCCTCCTCTCTTCCTCTCTTTTCCCTTTCCTCTCCGTTCACCCTCCATCTCCGCTGTGCACGCCTGCCTGTCTCTTCATGTGCTGAGAGGGATGCGATTGAGGGGGGGGGGAGAGAGAGGTGTGGTGACGGAGGTTTGGCCCGAGACAACAATACCCCACACCTTGGCACTGATGCTGACAAATTCAAGTATGCACGAAAACACACAGAAGTGCGTGCACACACAACACACATATGACCCACATGTGCATTTGCTGCCTTCCCGGGCATGGTTTACTGGCATGAGTGTGTGTGTGTCTGAGCAAGGGAACAAAGGGGTCACCATTTGGACGAAGAGAAAAGGGCTGTGTGTGTGCATGCGTGGATGTGAGGGTCGTTTGTACACCTTAGTGTGTGTGTGTGTGTGTGTGAGAGTGTGAGTGGGTGTGTGTTGGGCCTCTTGCAGCAGTCCTCCCCATTTGAGCAAAGTGACTGGCAAACACAGACCTGTTTGTCTCTGTTTGTTTCCTTTTGAACTGCTTTCCTTTGAGCCTCCTTTCCGCCCCTCATACATTATTGCACAGCAGCCAACCTTGGCGCCTCAGTAAAAGATTAACTAAGCTGTCCTATTACAGTAAAGGAAATCTTCCGAGCAGCACTGTAATTTCATAGTCATGTTAAGGCAACGATTAATCAATTATTCACTCCGCCTTTAATTTTTTTTATTGTATTGAGAAGAAAATGAATGTTAATGGAAGCAGCAGCAGAAGCACAGGCTCAACCGCAGCGGCACAGGCAGAAATACAATACTCGTGTGTATGCACATCGTTAGTGCTGAAATGATTAAACGATCAATCAAAGTGTCCAGCCACTGACATGTGATCGAGCAAATATAGCGCACACTTACCTACCAAACTCTCTTAACCTTAAAGATCTAGTTACTTTCTTTGGCTTCTCTCACCATCACTTTAAATATGAAATTTAAATAAATAAAAAAATACAGTAACCAAATAATATAATAAGTATTTTAGAAGCAGAAAAAGGAAACAGGTCTCATTGGTGTTGTTAAATTCAGTATCAAATCCAAATGAGCCTTTCGTTGTGTTTGTGTATTTCATTAAAGTCTTTCCTGGAGCGTTTTGCTTCAGCTTCATAGTGATGGAGAGAAAACATGTCATGCAATCAAGAACTGCACCACTGAACACTGATTACACAGCTTCTTAAAGCCCCCTCGGCCACCAGGACTCACCACCCGACACCTACCCAAGTTTAGCATTCCCTAAATCAGCTTCTTGCTTACAGTGATGGGGTCCCTCAGGTTTGGCTTGCAGTGGTTGGAAGAGGACTGGGCTGTGACCTCACGTACAGTATTTACCTTTAGAAAGCAGATGTTAAACTCTCTTGTTAGAAAAAAAAATCATCTTAAAAAGCTACACACGGCAGACCGGATCTCTGGCTTTGACGTTTCCTACGCGATCTCCACCCACAGTTCCCTGGGAATCTGCTATAGCGCTAAACTCTCATTAGAATTCCCCTGGCTGGCCTCCTCTTTTCGATATGGTAATTAGCAATGACTAATGACTTTAGCAAGTGTAAAAAATGAGCCAGTAATGGCCACATTACAATGGATTAGGAATTACAGAGGTTTAAATGAGAAAGAAAATGGTCTCTAATTATGGTGTGATTCTAAGACAAATCAGGGATGGTACAGGAGTTTTCTGATCCGCAGCTTTTTTTTCTTGTTTCCTTCTTATAAATTAGTAGCCGTATGTTCTCAATGACTGGGAACGGCCACTCCCAGTGTGTTTCCACAGGCGA